CCCTGCGCCCGCCGTGCTCGCTTACTGAGCAGTGCACCGCTCCGTGGGTTCCACTAGGACTAGGGGGAAGGAAAAGTACAGCTTCCTGCCAGGAAAGGAAATAAAACACTTCTTTTAAAAAAAAAAAAAAAAAAAATACACTTGCATCTGAGTATTTGGTTTAAATCTTTTTATCAGCACACGAGATCAGAAAGCCAAGCAACTGTTTTGACCAAAGAGCATTTACGGGTTAGAAACCTGAGCCATCTTTCACAGGATGTCCTTTAGACAGTACCAGAGTTCAGGCTGAGAACACTTGTCTGGTCCTAGATAATTTTAGACCTCAGAAATAATTGCAAACCTCAGTGCCCTACATGCTAACTTTCAAGATCAATAGATAAATAACTTCTGGAATTCCCAATGAACAACAAAGTTGTAATTTTCTGCAATATTTTAGGTCCAAGTATGATAGAATCAGAGGAAAGACAGACTTAAGAAATGCTTACCAAAGCTAAAAAAAAAACCAAATATGAGGATGCTTTGTTTCTAAGTAAACAAGTTATTAAGAATCCTCCATCCCAATATTTCAGTGTAATTTGTAATTAGGGATATTAAAAACATTATTTTAATCCAAGACAGAATTTAGAAAAAGGAAACCATTTCCACAAGAAACAAACAAGTTCATTCGATTTTTTTTTCCCCCCCAATTTCAGAACAGATGTTACTACAAGTGATTGACCAACTAAGATATTTTTGCCTACTTCACACTCTCCCCCCTTGCAGTTCCCCAAAAGTCATATACACCCATTTCTTTGAGAATAAAAGAGCTCCAAAAAATATTTAGGGTTCCCTCTCCCAGTTTCTCAGGCTGACTGAAGGTTTGGCTCACTGGAACAAAATGGAAACGCAGGAATGGCATTCTTGTTAGGTTTATGATGATATGGAGCAAGAATCATGAAAGACAGAAAATAATGGTTAGTTATACATATTAAGAATTTTAAAATATAGACTGTTTGCTAAAAAAGGAGTTCTGCTTCTCAACAAGGGCTTGCATAAGAACTCTGCTTGTGGGTTTTATTATTAGACAAGAAATGGTGGGGAAAAAGGGAACTAAAGGTTTTATTATCATGATCAGCAGAAAAAACCGCTCTCCTACGATATTAGACGAGACATAGTGGAAAAAAGGGGAACTAAAACATATTCAGACTGTAAGAATACCGCAAACTTGCAAGACCATCACATTTTGAGAAAGGGGTGAAAAGTACATTGTGAAGAAGACCTACGGCCTTCCTCCCAGAGACCACCGCCCACAATAGGAAGACCCCTGCCCAGTTTCTGGAGAGGATCTGCGCAAGCGCGAAGGATTGATAAACTAATTAACATGCATTAACATACGATGCGAGAGTAGGCAGGGTTAGGTAATGAATATGTATAGGCATCACATGAATATTTATTGTTTCACTGTGTAAATATGGGATGGCTTACTTCCTCACGCATGCACGTTTGTGGTGGAGCGATCCCCCATGCGTCTGCGTGCAATAAACATACCTACTTTTTAACTTTCGAGTTATAGAGTCTGTTTCCGTACGTCAATGACTTCAAGACACACAGCAGGTTACAGAAAAATCAAAACATACTCACTCTTTCTGTAAACAAAACTACAACGCATTTTGTGGATCTGTACCTCATTAGTCTTGCCTTAGTTTCCAGACAGTAGTGCCAAGACTTAAGAGCTATGGACTTCCACGCTTCTCCTGCCTGCCTGGTGTTCTGGTGGGATGCATGCCACAGCAGGGAGGTAACACATGGGTCTAAGGTTGTGCTTTGGCCTCTCATCATCTCCTGTAAGAAAGGTAAGACTTGAATAATTTAGCACCTCTGTGTTGGATACAAGTGTAACGCCTCTTCTGAGAGGGAGAATAAGCCTTTTACATAGTTATAATACCCAGACTAGTATCTGGAGCTCAGCTAACATAGAAAAACCTCTTTCTACAATAACTTAACATGCTTTGGAGGCCTGCATGTGGGATACTCTTTAAGAGAAAATGACACATGCACAACTATAGCCGCCTCCTTATTCACCCCGTTCTTTCACACACACTTGAGTACCATTTTAAGTGTATTCTATGCTATCTATGCAAACAGATGGTAACATACAAGAACTGTGATACAATTTTCTTTATTAAAAATAATTTACAGCATTGGTAACATTTTATGCACAATTGTCATTGATTGAACATGAGATCTATACAATGCTTACTGAAAACTTACACTGCTCTGTTGGCTTTAAACAGCAGACATAGATTTGCAGTTGCTTAAATATTATTAATATATATGTAGTTTCATGTCTTCATACTTAGGTGTAAACTGTATAAACACCAACACTATCTCAAAGCTTTGTAGTTTGGGAGGGAGAGAAAGAGGGGCTTAAAGAGAAAACACTTAGAAAAATCGGAATAGATTCTTCCCCCAAATCAAAACAGAGAGAGAAGTCTAGAGGTTAAATACATCTAACACAGAGTCACTTCTTCAAAAAAGTACATTTCCTCTTATGCTTTAAGACACTATAAAGAGGTCTAGTTGAACAATGTTTGTGTGTGATCACAGCAATCCTCTGACTGTACCGTATCTGCCACTGCCAGGCAACAGGTATCACTCTTGCCCACCTAAAGCTCCCAAGATCCTAGCAGTGTGTCCAAAGTTACACGTCTTCCCTTTGCCACGGGGCTGTGAAACTGGACTTTACAATGTTTGGTGCTGCCTGAGGAAGAGGGGACAGGCACATTACCACGGGTTATCAGGCAAGCATTCCCTTCAGTGGCAGTCCACTACCCCATGAGAAGCAGGAGCCACGTACATGAGCAATGTTGTTCCTGCAGGACCCACTGCGCTTCAGGCATACAGATCCCACAAGTCAGAATCCGACCGCACTGCTCACAGAGATGCTATCGACTTGGGCATGTCTAGGGCTGGACCCACTGCAGCAACAGCAGGAACATCAAGCTGAAGAGCAACTGTGCCCAAGCCCAGCTCAAAAAGCTGTCCTTCATTGATCTGAAGACATACGAGTGCAGCAGAATTAAAGTAGTTGCTATAGTAATGAATCTTAAAAAAAGATGACTAGCTTTATTGATGACAACTTGCAAATAAGTCACATCCCTTGAAATTGCACTTCACAGTACTGGTTTACCTTGACACGGCTTGGCTCACTGTCTCCTTCTGAAGCAAGGAGTGTGTTACTACACTAGAGAGGGAGGAAGGCTGCCTTCTGTCCAAGCATTAGCAGTTACACAAGTTTTAAACAGGGTCATGGTTGTGGTTTTATTTATCATTTGCATGATGCATCCTTATATGCCAGCACTAAATTCCTATTTGCTCCCCAACAATGAACATGCACTTTCTTGAGCTAAATCAAGAATATATTTTTGAGCTGGGGGGAAAAAATAGTATTAGACACTGTTGTACAAGAAATAACTGCTCAAAACCTCTGAATAAAGTTAGCAAAAGAGTACCACAAACAAACGCATTCACTGTTCAGTTGAATATGGCATTCAAAAAGGGATTGATTTATCACCCATACCAGTGGTAGGAGACACTGGAATGTTTTTTATCTTAACTGAAAGAAAACCACAGCAAAACTAGTGAAATACAAAACCATATTATACACAATTTCAGGCTTTAGGGAACTTTATCCAATAAAATAAAAAAGGTGTATCAAAGTTATGCCAGCAAAGTCAAATTAATTTTACAAAAAAATATATTGTAATGCTATTATTACACTAGGGTGGGTTTTTTTTAAGGAATGTCAGAAACATACTATTTAAAGATTTGAATCGTGCATTTGTTAGTTTGCAAGTCAACTAGCTTAGTGTCTGCTTATAAATTGAAAGCACATATAGCAAAGATAATATAATTCTCTTGAAAGTTTTGATATTTAAGATAATGGCTACCAAGAGGGGAAAAAAAATCTTAAAGCAAAATCCTGACAACTTATAGGCAAGTTATTGCAGTTTTTTTCTCCAAAAGAAATTAATCTCTGTGTAACCTGTAAGTGGTATAACACAGCTTTTCATAATTAAGAGCACAGAAGTACCATCTTGAAAGTACAGTGCTTGGCTAAGTGGTAAAATAAGCACTTCTGCAGAAACCGTGCATCCTCTGTTAGTATGAAATACAGAACAGGGTTTTACTGTCAACATGCTGACAAATTTCTAGGAGTTGCAATGGTGCAAGAGCCAAACTTTTTCAGTACTCTAGGACCTTCAGTAGGGAAACATGATGCTTGTTTGCGAGAGGTGTAATCTAACAGCATGTTAGAAAGCATTAAAAGGCAGTGTGGCTACCTCAGCTGTTTTAACATTTGACAAATCATTCTAAGGTATTAAACATAGGTCTTATTTAGAGTCCTAACAAATGTTTTAAAATACTTTTAAAGGTTAAAATACTAAAGGGAGGTATTTTGTCTAATGATGCAGACAGTACAGTAAGAACTGATGTCATAAATGACAAACTGCATCCCTTGAAGTAGACATGACAATTTTCAATCGAAGGACACTGCAGCTTGCCAAAAAGCTGGCTGCTACACTTAACCTGCATGAACAAAATAATTGAGAGCATTTTTTTTTTTTTAAATGCAGAGCTGTTTCCTTCTAAGCACACAGTATTTCATAGCATGAACAGTTTTAATATTTCATCTGGATACAGATTTATCCCATAATAAAGGAAGAAAGTCATGACACAGGATACCATGGACCTCATGTGGACTGCTTTTTGTTCAACCCATAACCTAAAAAGAAAAATTAAAAACTGAATATCTGTTTTAAGGCCTGGATGAAAAAAAAAAAAAAGAAAGAAAGAAAGTTTGACCTTCAATATTCCATAACATCTGCTATTCTTAAACCAACAAACAGCAGTACACAGATTTATAGGTGCAAAAACTAAGTGGAGACAACTGCAAAAAAATCTTCTTACATAATAATCTTCAGCACAATCAGTTGCAGATTTCGCATAGTTTATTTACAAAATGGTCTGATAAAACATCCTCTCTGTACTTACAGGTCTTTGCCACAATACACATGTTGATTTTAGCAATGTTTAATAGCACCATTAGAATATTATTTAAAATCAGGAAGGATCTTGTTGCAGTTACAATGACTCACAATCTTTTACATCCATGGACGAAGTAACTTTGAGCACACTAGGACTGTTTGCAGTTCCACAGTACAGATTCCTGGGTTCACACAAGGCATTTTCAGAATTACCAGTTATGCAAGGTACCCATAGTCAGTAGCAACTATAAGAATCTTCGAGCCACAAAGTTTAGACTTCCACCATATTTGTATAAAGTTATCTCCATATCGTTTTCAAACAAGGCAGTCACGCTGAATACTTTCCCCGTGCTCGTCTTTGAAAGAAAAGCAAAAGAAGAGAGACCAATTAAGGAGTTTCATTTTCACTTCCCCCTGCTTATTCCCAGTTAACACTCTGTCACCCCAAATTTGGTTGAACACAAGCAAATTCAACTTGCTCCTCTGCCACTGCAGGTGTAGGAGACACTGCTGGGTACAGAAGGCTTATTTCATGCACAGTTTAGACCCAGCTGGGAGCATGCCATGTATTTAGTGATAATTAAGAAAAAAGCCACTTCTCTAATATGGCAAAGTGCGTTATTGTGGGCATATAGTTCGTCTACACAGAATGGGAAGCTGAAGCCTCTCTGAATTAGTAGCACCCTTGTCTTTAAAAGCGCCAGAATGAAAGATGACATTCGATTCTACCCTAACATAGTGCCCATGACAGGGCATGAACAATGCCCATAAGAACAATCAGGAATTTCAGGTTACATTAAAAAAATAGCATAGAAAAAAAAAAACACATTTTAAGTACTTTGGGAAACTCCAATAGCCATGACAAACTTCAGGGAAGACTAGAAGCTTACTTTCAAAAAGAATTAAGTTTTGGGTTTTCCCGCTTCCAATCATCAGGATTAACTTTTGTTTCTGTTCTTTCAATTGTCAGTACATTCAACAGAGAAGTCAGAAAAAACACTGCAAAGATACCTTAACATCCAAAGTCATTCTGGGTGACAGTTCTGGAGGAAACAATATAGAAAACTGCTCTCTGCCAGTGAGACCAAAGGTACTTGGATTTTCCCCAGGAAGAAACTGAAGTGGAGCTATGCCAATTCCAATCAACTGGCTCTTATGAACCTTCTCATAGCTTTCAGCCAGGACAGCTTTAACACCCTGCAAAAATACACATGATTTCATATTTCACTATAGCCATCAGAGTGAAAAGCAAAAGTAAGCTTCAAATACCTATTATGTCCAAAACTCTTCAATTGAAACTCAAGAGTAAAGGGGGTGTTTTGTGCAAGTCCTGTAAGGAAGTAGGTAGCATCTTTTAGCTTTACAGCTAAATGAGAGCAATTCAGCCAGAGCAGGCCCATGCAGTATAAAACAGCTTTATGAGTCCATGGCCATGCTGTAGGTGGCAGGCAGAAAATCCCAGACTGAATGTAGTTGCTTCCATTAATCCACATGACTAAATGGCTGGGTCCACATATATTCTGAATATTACTGTAAATTAGTCTCCCATAGCTAGATACTTAACAGAAAATGGAGACCAGAGAGAGGTCAGCACTAGATAAATTCCTAAAAGTCCAGAGTTCTAAGATGGTTAATTTACATAAGGAGGAAATTGAGATTTATCCTGACTAGGGGTTCTCTTCTATGAGGATTCAAGCAAAGAAATTATTGAGAAACCTTGAAAAACAAAACGTGGTATTATATTCACATTTGAGGACAGTTTCTAAAAACGTTCATGCACAAAAATAAATTTTTTCAATTATTTCCAGAAAAACAAACCAGCCAACCAAACCAGAAACCCCAAAACCAAACAAACCAGCAGTACCAGTAGAAAAGGCCCTTTTGCAGCCCAGTCTCTTGAGCTACCCAGTCCATACTTCTTTCCTGCTAGAATAATTACAGGAAATTCTGGTACAGCTCTGCTGCTTCAAACACATCTAGCTATGGAACAAAAGTGAAATTGCTTGAGTGAGCTGTAAATTCACGTCTCAGTTTCAGAGTAGCTATGCAAACAAGCAGTTTTTTACCGTTTGTCCTGATGGGAAGTGAACTGTTTTAGGAGCTGGCTTTCCTATGAACTTATTCAGAAGCTTGATGTTTGCAAAGGTACCTCTTGTCATCACAGCATCGTTACCTCTACGAGCTCCATAAGAGTTGAATTCACGAGGTGTAAGTCTAGAATGAGAATATTTAAAAGGGAAGCAGTTATTTTAAAGGTAATCTGGTATAAAATGATATTTTAACATTTAACTATAGCAACAAAGTTTTCAGTGCAAGATGTAACAAAGTATAGAACCAACAAATGTAATGATTATAAATCCTGAACAAAATAAGTAAATCATCATCACTAGATTGTTCACAAGGAAAGCAGTAATTTGAAACTCATTTTTTTATGACTTCGTTATCATGTTTGCTATGAGCAGCAAGGTACTTAGAGAAGCATTATGGGGAGACTGTTCTAGGAAACAACCCTGTTTACTAATCCTCTTGCCTCTACCAGCATATTTATCAACAAGTGTTGTACCAAAATGAAAGCTTTACTCAGAAATCAGACAACCCTCCTGGGATTAAAGGCCCATTAATGTTTTATTTCTCATAACACTACTCATTCAGACTGAACACAACAGTTGAGAAAAGTACACACCACAGACTATTACCTGGTCAGGCTTCAATGACACTGTAGTAATCACACACACCTCTGCAATACAACAATATTCCAAAACATTCAGCAGAGGTGTGACACTGAATAGCTCGGCACCAGGTTGTGTTCTGTGTCTTTTCAGAACTTCAGGGGAGGTGAAAGGCACCCCCTGCTGCTGAAAGATGCTCACTGATGCAGAGGTAAGTAACAGCACCAATCACACTCATTTATAAACCTGGGCTTAATTTTTTTTTCAACTCTATATGTTTCTAGAGCTTCTGATGTGTTCTGCGCGTCTGACCGTTCTTGAGGCAAAGACAGTAGCAGTGACTAACCTCACCTTAGCAGAAGATCACGTCACCCAATTAGTAAAGTTTTGCTTTGGCATGCATTTGGCAGCAGACATTACTGTAACAGCAGCTACGACAATGAGTTCTTTAAGAGTGTGTACCTCAGCTGTTTGTTGTAACCTTAGACAGAGACAGCAAGAAAGGGTATTACTGGCATCAGACGACAAGTAATTACTTAAATGCCAGTAACAATGACTGTTCTGCTTATCCACACATCATCTCCACTGGATGCAGACAGGCATTTATAAAGAAAGCAATAGTGCTGATCAATTATTTGGTGTGTGCAGTCATATAATCATACAATTATAAAATGGTTTGGTCTGGAAGGGACTAGAGCTGTTTCCTATGAAAAGTCCTTACCCTTTGTTGGTCAGATACTTGGCAGCAGCACTACTCCTTGCAATGCTTCCAGCAGGGGATATGTGATCTGTAGTTACAGAATCACCCAAATAGAGCAAGACGTGCGCATTTTCAATCGGTTGTGGTGAAACTGGTTCTTTGGCCTGAAAGAGAAGGGTCAGGGTGGGGAAAGAAATAACAAAAAAAGAAACATTCTTCTTCCAAGATCCTTAGAGACAAAAAAGATCTGCAGCACATGAAGGCACACTGATGTCCAGGTTCCACTCATTCCAGAGAGACTAATAGTATTGAAAAGACTGAGAAATTAGTGATAAACTGCTACTTAAATATCAAAAGCTTTACTGGAATAATTATTCCTTTACTTAAATGCAATGCATATTAGTCTGGCAGACAGATCCATGTACTTACAAGTTTATCAAAAAAGGAAGGACATCTGATATAAGTAGATTTTAAATCCCAGGGAAATAAAGTTGACTCAGGTGCTTCCAGTAAATTCCATCGTTTGTTTCCTTTCTACAGAATAAGAAAATTAACCAACAATAGCAAAGAAAGGCAGTTAGCATCTTTTTACATTCTGAAACTAAGGACTTACTAGTAATTTTCTTTTTAATTTCTATTACATATTACAAGTTACCTCACTGAATATTACTTAAGAACCACTACCTAATACATGTATTCACCTCAGTTAAGCCCTCCTTTACAGTAATAAAAAACTGGCAAGCCAACCATTTTCAGCTAGAAGACATTATGAAGCTACACCGAAGTGCAATCTTTAACTTATGTAAAACATAAGACCATTCTTGCCTCCATTTTTTCTTTCAATTCCTTAAACATGGATGATATCACACACTCTTCCTCCACAGTGTGAAGTTCTTTTCGGGTTGGCCAAATATCTCGCAAGTAAATACTTTTGCCATTGAAGCCAGTACCTGAGTAAGATTTTAAACAAATTAGTAAAAAATAAAATATTAGACTTTATATTAGAATATAAGTACCTATATATTTAGGTCTTCAGAGATGGTACCAGATATGCAAAGAATTTCATCAGTTAAATAGATGCTTTACTTTAGCTACCAGCAACACCAAATATGACTGTGTTTCCTCCTCAAATATACCGGTTTTGTATGTTGAAAGGCGTGTGAAGAAACCTCTTCAACATATGCATTAGATGCAGAAATAGAAGATGTAAGGAAGCACTTACCCAAAGGCTCAGTTTCAAAGTCTATTCTAACAGTGCCTGCAATAGCATAAGCAACTACTAACGGTGGAGAAGCAAGGTAGTTGGCGCGGACACAGTCACAGAGACGTCCTTCAAAGTTCTTTGTTCCAGACAATACTCCACAGGCAATCAGATCACCCTGAAAGGCAGACCCGCATGATATTTTTCTAGGACTTCGTGCTAGTTTTGTTGATTAAGTTAGATGTGCTTTTAGCATTCCACTTATTTCCTCTAACTCTTCAATTTAAAGGCGTTTTGCCGTCTCCCACTACCCTCCCTCTTTCTCCTCCTTCTCACTCTTGACCCCTGATGTTTTCCCCAGTCACTTCACTGAGCTCCTCTCTCACCTTCTATTTTTTACATTTTTCTTCTGCCTCACAGAAGAAAAAAGCTGCAGCTGTTTAGACACTGCGCATTGCACATGATTAGATCCTATGTATTCATCTTACTATTCATATCTGTATGCTACAAATACTATTTATTATGTTTTTTCCACATCGCAATGACGTACTTTGGCCTCCCTCTGACATGCAGACATGCAAAAGGGTCACGCAAATCCAAAGCAACAATAAAGTATATTCTGCATGGGTTACTGTATTTCTTGATCACTTAACTCAGTGAGAATTACATTTCTGTATTCAACAAGCCTCAGAGCTTTACCTGTTTTATTGCATTCCTGATGGCTTCTGGCAAGGGGGCAGTGTTTCCAACACAAGTTGAACACCCATAACCAACAACCTCAAACCTACATTGAGAAAAAAAAAAAAAAAACACACAACAAACAACACATTAAATGATTACAAGCAATTTAATACCAAACTAGCTTTTACTTTCATGAGCAATCACTCGGGAGACTTTTTTTTCTTTTTGACAGTTAGACTTTTTAGGAAGTGAACACCAGACACTACATGTCACTGATGCAAGCAGGAAGATACCAGATAACATTTTTTGTAATCACTCAAGATAAGTCAAAGTATCTCAAGATGTCATCAGTTTCCTAGGCAATGGCAAAGCAAAGGCAGTAGTGTTCCTCACAGAGCACAGCTGGGCTCTGCTACAGAGTTATGAACATAATCTGTTATTGCTACAGAGCAACCAAAACCATGCTAAACAACCCACAATAGCAGCAATGTTAAGAAAATACTAATACAGACTGTCCCAATAAATTTACATGCAGCTTCCACTTTTAAAATATATCAAGAAGCGCATCCTGTCCTGTAAGACACTTAAGTAGACTGCTACGGATAAAAAAAAGAGCTCAGATGAGGTAGAGATCTGCATATAGTAAATTGTAAGGTGGGAATACAGTGGAATAAAATGCCTTTAAGTCAGCAAGCAGTTAAAACGACAACCTATTAAGTCAAGGATTAGCCACCCCCAAATGAACAGCAGCCACATTTATTAACCTTTATAGAACCCCTGCTCACTATTTTCCTACAACAACAAATG